CCTGTTGTTGTTTTAGTTTCGTGCCATATCGAGAACTAGATCCGAGTCTGGTACCACAAATGAATTCCTTGGGCATTGCTCGCAACGAGCTGCTGTTCAATGTGAACCACAGCGAACTAGTTCCGCCAGGGCCTCAGCAGCAGCAGCTGCTGTCCGTTTCGCCTGAGCTAGTTTCTTGCATCGGAAGCGGAGCTGGGGTTGCCTTGGATGCGGTCAAAGAGCCAGCTGCCACTCCGGCGGCTGAGGACGATGCCCAAATCGATGCCAGGCTGCAGGAGGAGCTCGACTCGCTGCCAATGGTGGAGCCGGAGCCCGAAACGGAGCCCGTAACACGCCCCCAACTGCCGCCCACAATGCCGTACAGGCCCCAACCCCAACTCCTGCACCACCAACAGCATCTGCAGCAGCAGGGAACGCCGCCGGCGCGAGTGTTCTACAAGGCGCGCACCGTGCAGGAGGCATCCAAGTTCTCGATCCAAATTCCGCCCGAGGCACCGGCCGGCACAGTTAAGCTAATGCCCACCACGAACTATGCAACCATGCAACTAAAGATGCAACAATCGCAGGTTCGAATCGCATCGCATCTGGGCCAGCATCCGTACAAGATGATGGTGACGAACACGCAGGATCGATACCGGAGCACACAGGGCGGCCGGATGTTTATGCCAGCTGGAGCTCAGCCGAGCCAGAGCCAAGCCGCCTTTCCCAAGACGCTGACCGACTTCATCAAGTCCAAGAGCAGCTTTGTGACGGGCCAGACCCAGATGCGCGGCATCCTTCCCAACCAGCTGCCGAGGCCAACGCTGTGCCAAATGAAGCTGCCCCTGAAACCCGACCTGAACAATCCAATGATGCGGCCGCAGGGCGTGCTGGTGCGACGGGAGCTGCCGCAGATGCCAGCGCCGCTCGAGGATGACGAGGTGGACTTCGAGGAGATCGGTGTGGCCGATACCTACTCCTCGTACTGGCCGAGCAAGCTGAAGGGCGGCAGCCGGCATCCCGATCCGGTCGTCGAAACGGCCACCTTGTCCTCCGTCGAGCTGCCGGACATCACGTACGAGCTGGCGCTGCCGGACAAGGTAAAGAACTCGGATCGCCTTAGTGCTCTGCAGCTGGAGGCGGTCACCTATGCCTGCCAGGCGCACGAGCAGCTCCTGCCTAGCGGCCAGCGTGCCGGCTTCCTGCTCGGCGATGGCGCCGGTGTCGGCAAGGGACGCACCGTGGCGGCCATCATCTTCGAGAACTATCTGCGTGGTCGCAAGCGTGCCCTGTGGATATCCGTATCCAACGACCTGAAGTTCGATGCGGAGCGCGATCTGCTGGACATAGGCGCCAGCAAGCACCTCAAGGTGGCCTCGATGAGCAAGTTCAAGTACAGCCGGATCAGCTCCGAGGAGAACGAGTACTTTAAGCGCGGCGTCATCTTCTGCACGTACACAGCGCTCATTGGCGAGTCCGCGAATGCCAATCCCAAGTACAATACGCGTCTGCGCCAGCTGATCAACTGGCTGGGCACCGATTTCGATGGGGTCATCGTGCTCGACGAGTGCCACAAGGCGAAGAACCTGAGTCTGATGAATGCCGGCAAGTCCACCAAGACGGGCACCACAGTTCTCGAGCTGCAGCAGCTGTTGCCCATGGCCCGGGTGGTCTATGCCTCGGCGACGGGCGCCTCGGAGCCAAGGAACATGGCATATATGGTGCGGCTGGGGCTGTGGGGTCCCGGCACCTCCTACTCGGAATTCTTCAAGTTTGTCAACACCGTGGAGAAGCGCGGCATTGGCGCCATGGAGATTGTTGCGATGGACATGAAGCTGCGTGGCTCGTATATTGCCCGACAGCTGAGCTTCAAGGATGTCAGCTTTCGCATTGAGGAGGTGCCCATGTCGCGGGACTTCCACAAGCTCTACAATCACTCCGCCGAGCTCTGGGCCGAGATCAACGAGAAGTTCCTCAAAGCCTGCCGTCTGATGTGCATCGAGAACCGGGTCCAGAAGATCATCACGTGCCAATTCTGGTCGGCGCATCAGCGTTTCTTCAAGAACCTCTGCATTGCCTCCAAGGTCAACCATGTGGTCAAGATGGTGCGCGAGGCGGCCCGCCAGGGCAAGGCCGTGGTCATTGGCCTGCAGTCGACCGGGGAGTCGCGCACTCTGGAGCACCTGGAGCTTTATCAGGGTGAGCTGACCAACTTTGTGTCCACCTCGAAAATGATAATTCAATCCTTTGTGGAGAAATACTTTCCGGCACCGACACGTGAGTCCCTCTACAAGCTACTCAACACGGGCACCTTTGAGCCGGAGGCGCGCGCCAAGTCCGGCTGCGCGAAGCGGCCGCGCATGATCTCTGAGTGGTCCGACGACGACATGGACGCGGACGGTGGCGACAGCGACATTGACCTGTGCGACAACAGCTGGAATGCCGATGCCGACGACGATGAGGACCGCCTCAAGTCGGGACGCAAGCGACGCGGTCGTCCGCCCAAGCCGGACAAGGGTAAGCTCCGGGTCCTGCTAGCCCAGATCAGAGAACAGCTCATCAGCCCAATCTTTACGCAGTGGAGAAGATCACCATGCAGGATCGCATCCTGCAGCATTTGTGTAACAACATGAACGCCAAGCACGAGGAGGAGGATCCCAACTTCGATTCCGCCAAGCCGCAAACGGCCAAGATCACGGAACGCGACGTGGAGCGTTGCATCACGGTGCGTGAGAAACTGCTGGATAAGATCGAACATCTGGGACGACGCATGCCGCCCAACACGCTCGACAAGATCATCTCCAAGCTGGGCACCAAGGTGGTCGCCGAGATGACTGGCCGGCGCGGCCGTGTAATCAAGACGGACGAGAACACGTACAAGTACGAGCAGCGCGGCGAGGCGGAGACGACCATGGATCTGGTCAACTACATGGAAAAGCAGCGCTTCATGGAGGACAGCAAGCATGTGGCCATCATCTCGGAGGCCGCATCCAGCGGCATCTCGCTGCAGAGCGACAGACGCCTCAGCATACAGCGACGGCGACTGCACATCACCCTGGAGCTGCCCTGGAGCGCGGATCGGGCCATACAGCAGTTCGGACGCACGCATCGCTCCAACCAGGCCAATGCGCCGGAGTACGTGTTCCTCATCTCCGATCTGGGCGGCGAGAGTCGCTTTGCGGCGACGGTGGCCAAGCGCCTGGAGAGCCTTGGTGCGCTCACCCAGGGCGATCGGCGGGCCACCGATGCGCGCGATCTCTCGAAGTTCAACATTGACAACAACATCGGACGCAGCGCGCTGGAGAGCGTGCTGCAGCAGATCACCGGCGAGAAGCCGCTGGAGACCATTCACATACCCGAGTCCTACAAGGGCGACTTCAGCTTCGACTGCTGCGTGGCGCTTTCCGGCGTGGGCATGCTCAGTGTCTCCGAGGACAACAAGGGCCATCAGATCTTTGTCATCGAGAAGGACAGCAACAACATACCCAAGTTTCTCAATCGCATTCTCGGCTGTCGCGTCGAGGTGCAGAACGCCCTCTTCAAGTTCTTTCTCAACAAGATGTACTCCCTAATCCTACAGATGAAGCGCTCGGGTCACTTTGATCTGGGCATCCTCGACCTGGATGCCCACGGCGCCAACGTAACCGCCATCAAGCTGATACGGTTCATCAGAAAGCACGCCACGGGTACAGCTGCCACCGAGCTGCACACGATGCAGGTGGTGCGCGGCATGTCCTACGACCTGGCCCTAGCCAAGTGAGTAAATTGCCAGGTTCCGGCTTCAAGCCAGGGCTGCAAACATTTGGTGATCCAGTTCACAAAGCAATTCCTCTGTGAACCAGGTTTTCCACATTAGATAAACTAGGTTTCCGGTAAAGTCCATCATATTCCTTGTTTAAATTAAACCTATTGCGGTGCAGGCTTCGGTTTGAACCATTGCAAGCTGCAAGTTCCTGAGCCGCATTCATTGAATCCTGTTTTGATTCAAGGCCTCATTCGTAGAGCTCGATGTTTTGCAGCCCTGGTTCGAACTCGCCCAGGATAACTCCCTTTTCTCCGCCCACTCCCTTTAGGTACAACAAGGAGGCGCGCCAGGAGCACGAGGGTTTCTACACGTTCAAGCAGGAGCGCAACAACAACAATTGCGCCATCCTCTGCCTGAATGCGCAGCCGGACACAGCTGCGACAACCGATCCCAGCAAGCTGAACATGAAGATCTATCGGCCCAATACGGGGCCGCAGGTGCGCACCGAGACGCTCAGCTCGATTGGCAATCGGTATGTGAAGGCCTCGCCGGAGGCAGTGCAGCAATTCTGGGACATGCAGTACAATCAGTGCCTGCGCATGTGCTCGCACATCTATTGGAATCGCCGCTGTCCCTTCGGCATCAAGTGCGGGGTGGGCCTCCGTGTGCGCACCTACCATGTGCTGTCCGGCCTAATGCTGCCCATTTGGGATCGCATCGCGCTGATCATCGAGAAGGACGGCCGCAAGATCCAAATGATACGCGTCAAGACGGATGAGAACAAGAAAATTGTCGGCACTGTGGTGCCCGAAGGTGTCTACCATCAGCTGGTGGCCGATCTATCCTCCGATTCCATTGTCGAGAGCAAGGATTTCAGTGTCAGCAAGGAATAAGATTATGTATAAAAGGTCATCTTAAGTGTAAAATAAAGTTGCTCTCAATGGAAAGTTCTTAGACTTGAAATTGTATTTCTTGTGAAAATAGAGAATAGATTTCAATAAAGAAATTTCCATTTCAGAATCTACACAAATTTGGCGAATATTTTTAAAAATGCAACCATTTCTTTTTCGAGATATTCCAATTTTAAAATCAAAACTTTAAGATTTCTGGAGAAAGAACTCATACAATAGCTAAAGCTCGGATAGTACAGATAATTTTTAGTTAAAGTTAAATGAAATGAAATGAAAGTTGAACTTTAAATGAAATTATGATGCACATGCATTTACATTTTATTTCAAAAGTTAAACAAATCTTTTATTTTCTGCTCTTTAATACTTTTATATTTTGTTTTTCACATAGGTTTTTTTTTTGTTGTAGTTTTTGTAGTGTTTTTTGTTTGCATTCAAAATTGGAAAAACTCACAAGATTACGAAACTTATAAATAGTTTATAATTTAATTGTTGTTGCCAAATAAGAAGTACAACCTAAACATAGTTTAGCTGTTAGATAGCCTTAGATACACGTACAAATTAACTCTGATCTCTGTTTCATTTCTCTGTTTTGTGGGTTTTCGAATTTATCCTATTAATATAATAGACATAAGACTGAATATTAAATAGAGCGCAAGGTGGACAAAAACTGTTCCTGTGTTCATATAAATTGCATTGCATATAAAAATAGAAACTCTAATTCTCAACTGGTTTTGGCGCGTGCCAAATGAAAGCACTTCCGCCGTTGCTTTTGTATTTAGTTTGGGCTTAGCTTCTGTTTTGCTATGTTGCCTTTTTCTCGATTTGCACTCGCCTCTCTCTCTCTCTCTCTCTCTCTCTCTTTCTCTTCTTCTCTGTCTTAAACGTTTCGATATGCACTCGATTTCTCTTCTTCTCTTTCTTAAACGTTTCGAAATGCACTCGACTCTTGCGTATATCTCTCTCTTCTCTTTCTTAAACGTTTCGATATGCACTCGATCTCTCGCCTCTCTCTCTCTTCTCTTTCTTAAACGTTTCGATATGCACTCACCTTTCACTTTCTTTTTATTTCCTTATCCCTTTTCGACTCTTTCTTAAAGGTTTCGCTTTCGCTGTGGGCCCACATCCATTGTGTTGGGTCCTTGTAGGCACTTTACGTGTTTTTCAAACAGAAAAGTTTCCGAAATTAAGCGAAACGTATTGTAAATTGTATTTCTAATAACTGGAGTTTGTCATGCCATTATAAATGTGTTGCTCGATATGTGGGCGAGTTGCGTGCTCCCAATATCCTGCACTAAGTACGATACGAATTTTTGTTTTTCCTTATTTTCTTTCCTCTCCATGTTGTGTCATGAACTCTTGACCTTCCGCTCTGTTTTCTTCCTGTACTTGCTAAAGTTGAGCTTAAACTTGTGTTTTTTTTTGCACTTAATTTTAAACGCTTCCTCGTAAAAAATATGTTTGTAAGAACCGCAATCAAACTCTTAAGATAAACACGAAACAATCCAACAAATCAAATCAAATCAAAATCTATGTGGGATATATCTTAAGCATGCCGTTTCGCACATTTAAACATAAAAAAAAAACTAAGTGCCTCCGTTTTGTAAAAGACAAAAAACACACACGAAAAAAAATTCTAACTGCTGCAAGACGCGCGCGCGTGCGCGTATTTAAACGCAAACCGCGTTCGAAGCGCGTGCGAAACGCGTCTGAAACGCGCCGTGGTCGCCTCATTGTCGGGTTCCACTTTGAGGTCGCCCGAATGTCAGGCTGCTTGTCGCCTGCACTGACATCTAACTGGCTGTTAGATTGCTTAACGATACTCGTCTTAAGTAAATTATTTTTTGTTGCCTACATAAAAACGTGCGCGCGTTTCGCATGCGGCGAAAAACGCACAGCACGCGCCGCTCAAATCGGAGGCGGGCCGCGTATATAGCGCAGCTGAGGCGTAAAACTCATGGACAGATTGTTGAGATTGTCGCAGCAGTTGGGCTGCATCATGCAGGCGGCGCAGAAGAACGTGAACAGCGCCAGCTGCATGGGCACAGCTGCCCTCGCGATGCGCCACGCCCAGCCGCGACGCTTCTTGGAGGCGCCATCGGCATCCTCATCCTCCTCGGAGCTGTCCAGCAGTGCGGCGGCTGGCTCCTCGGGCGGATCGTCATCCCCACCACCACCACCGCCGCCGGCGGCGACAATGCGCTGCAGCTGCTCGACAACCTGTTGCTCCTGTTCTTTGCGGAGAGAAGCACGCTGTTCCGGCTGCTCCATATGCTGCTCAGCGTCGATTTGACGCGTTTTGCGCGCGTTTCTGCGCTTGGTCGACTGCGTTTGGGATTTGCCAGCGAGCTGCTTGGCAGGTCCATTGGCCAGCTGCTCCTTTTGCTTCTCCTGCTGCTGCTGCTTCTGCTGGTGCGAGGCGGCGGTGCGCACAATCAAATCGCGGCATGTATTCTGCAGCTGCTTAAGCTCCGCCTCGGCACTCTCCATGCGCGCTGCGATAGAGCGCATGGCAGCGCTGCCCGGCGCCAAAGCCAGCTCCAGCTGCTTGGCCAGGCGACGCAGCACGCCCAGGCGTCGTTCACGCTCGGACAGGCCGCCATCGGAGGTGGCGCCGCCGTCCGAGATGCCCGAATCGGAGAGCGAGCCGTTCGAGGCGGTAAACTTGGCAATGTGATAGATATGATTGGGATCGAGATGCTGCTGCACGGCGAGCAGCTGCTCCTGGCTAACGTTCACCTTCTCCGAGAGCAGCTTGGCCACCAGCTTGACGTTCTGTGCCAGCTCGACAGGCGTCGCCTGTCCCTTGTCCAGGGCGCCCTCCAGGCCCTTGAGTGTGCCGCGATCCTGGCCCAGGGCCAGGTGAAACTCGCTCAGCCCGCACTCGAGCTGGCGCCAGGCAATCAATGAATTCGTGAGCATCTCCAGCTGCGAATTGATTCTACGTTTGGGAGCATGAAATTAGTGAACGGGTAAGGTATATTGTTATTGATTCGCTTACCTGGCATCTGCCTCGTCCCAGGCGCTGTACATGTCGCTGACCTCATCTTTGAGATGCTTGTGGAACTCCTGCTCGGCGCTCATTAGGCTGGACACATCGCAGGTGCCCGTGGAGGCTTCCACCACCTGGTTGCCATTGCTGTCAGTTACAGTGATGGCCACCACGCCGCCGGCAGCAGCAGGCTTCAGTTCTGCTTGCTGCTGCTGCTGCTCGTGCCGCTGCTCTTGCTCCTTTTTCTGTTGAAGTTGTTCGGACTCCTGTTGCAGCTGCTGCTGCAGCTGCTCCTGTTGTAGACGCCGCTCCTGGCGCGTCAGCCAACTGTGCACCGAGGCGTTCAGGCGCAGCATGTTGGTGCGATAGCTGCTCAACTGTGTCTGCTCGAGCTGGAGTTGGAAAGCGAGCATGGTTATGGTCAGCTGCTTCATGCTAATTGGAGTTAACTCACCTTTAAGGCCTCGACGGCTATCTGTATGGCCGGCTCTGTGTCGAGCAGCTCCGGCGTGGACTTATCGCCCAGGCGGCGCAGCGTGTGCTTCAATGCGCTCATCTCCTGCTGCAGCTTGCGTGCGCTTGCCGCATTCTCGCTCCAGTTAAGCAGATCCTCCCAAGCAGCCAATAGATCTGCAACGAGAAAAAAATAAATTACAGTCAGAGAAAGCTAAGCTTGATAATTGGCGCACTTTGATTTGGATTCGGTTTGTGGATAACTCGTGGATTTCTTTGCGAATTTGCAGCCCTTTGCATGCCTTTCCCTTTCCCTTGGCGCGGCCAACGCCAAGGCAAAGTGAAACTTTTATTTGTTTACCAAGCCGAAAAAAACAAAATAAAGCAAAATACTTTTCCACTAAGCGCTAGAGTGGAACAACAGGGGAAAATGTGTGTGTGTGTGTGTGTGTGTATGTAATGTGAAACCGTGAACGTGTGGGAGACAGCAATTTTTGCAATTGCAACAAAAATGGGCTTTAAGTGCAGTCCAGGCGACGCCCCATAGAATAAAAGCTGTTATACCCTGTAGTCTGTTAGTTGGATGCAAGGGGTAGTTGAGTTTACAATTCATTCAGTTAAGCTAAAAATTAACAGAGTTAAGCTCAACATTACACTTGAATAAAGCATTTGCTCAGCAATTCCACCAACAAGTGTGAAAAACGGGTGAAAACTTAAAATTGCCGAAACTTTGGTGATTAACTTCGTAGAAAATTATCACTTAAGTTGTTCGAGCTTTAAAATGATTTGCAAAGCCTCAAATTAAAATTCATGACAGGCGATCAAATTTAGAAAATCCACAAACAAGGGTGAAAACGGTGAGAAATTTTAATTAAAATTCATCAAATCGAAGCTCTACGTAAAGATTCAAGAATTACGATGGAACTTTCGTAAATCCACAAACAAGGGTGAATAATGATTGAGCCAAGAACCAAGCGTTGCGATGGAAATCCACAAACAGAGGGGAAAATCGGGTGAGAAATTTAAAGTTTAAATCATTTGCAAATAAATTTACAAGTAAATGTGAAAAATGGGTGAGAAACTGTTAGTTTAAATATAAAGAAAAATACTTGAGAGATAATTTGGCCGAACTTGACTTAATTATTAGAAGAGTTTTTAGAAAGAAGCAGCACATACAGGGTATTGTTCAGTCACAATGCTAGTTGAATTTGTATGATAAACTGGTGGGCAGAAACCTAAACTTGACACGCGTTTGCTTGGATAGAATCAAACGCTGGGCGAACTTGCTTTGTTATAATAAATATTGTGTGGGGCAGGGCGGAAAATAGACGCCACAAAAAAGCTGCTTGCGGCCAGAACTTACCCGAGATAAATAAAAGATTGCGATAATCAGAAACAGTTTCGAGTGCAACCGACTCGTTGCAAGGCTGCGGCACAACTAAGCGGCTTGTGGCTGGGTTAATTGAATTGTAAATACGTCGATTACTTTCACCCAAACGCAGCAGGTGGATGCGATTGAGCCTGAGGTTAGCAATAATAATCAGACGCACTCAGATTGGCAGCCAGCACACGTAGCACACACTACGCAATACTCCACGACGACGACGACAACGCACATGGAACAGGACCAGGTCCAAAACACAAACCGAACTTGTTGGCAGCCAAACTGAAACTGGTTGACTGAACTTGTGCCTCTCCAGCTGCCAGCTGCCAGCTTGCAGCGAGCCAAGCCTACAACAGCAGCAGCAACAAATCGCAGCAACTCGAGCGCAACAAAACGATCGAGCAAACAGGCGCACAGTGGTGCGAAAGTTGAAGAAACGTATGTGTAAAGTGAAATGAATTAGGTGAGGCTTTGATATATGGAAACTATATAGTATATATCGAAACAATTTCAAATTTTGAATGCCCAGAAAAAACTTAAAATCGCAAATCAATGCAAATATTTGGGCATATTTTAAACCAAGTCTTGAGGTTAGCTCTATCAAACAAAAGCAATCGATAACATAAATTCAAGGCTGCAAACGATGAAATTAATTGATAGCTGTAATCGATTAATATTTGTTAAGGGCTCTATCAAAAGGAAATTATTAACCGCAAATGATAACAGCAATTGAAATCTGGATTCAATAACGATTGAAAACTGCAACCGATAACTGCAGTTAATAACAGCTCTCGATAACATGAATCGATACACATGGTCGATAAACACAGTCGATAGCAGGAATTCAAATTGCAATCAATAACATCAGCCGATAACTACAGCGCCTAAAACCCCTTCGATAACTGAAATCGATAACACAAATCAATATACACAATCGATATTTACAATCGATAACAATAATCGATATCGCGCAACTAAAATCTCAATTTTCGTACGCCTAAACTGATTTTTCAGCCAACATTTAAATTCTTTTTCAATTTAAAAATATATTTCCTATATTTCAACACAAACTCGTCGCTTTCAGTCCACTGTGCGACACTTCCTTAGAAATCTCACAGATTATTGCGCCCAGTGCATTAGATGCTCTGCCTGTTTGATGGTGCGTGGCGTTGTGGGACATCATCTACGCACTTTGCAGCCAACGAAAACTCGTAATCTTACGCGGATTGCACAACGCTCTGGTCCAGTCGGGTTTTCGACAGACTAAGGGGGGAAGGGGAGTGCCGGCAGGTGGACATTATCAGGCAACAACCCCACGCCTTGTGCCATGATTTGCACACTTAAGCCCAAACGGGTGGAGGGTGGGCGTGGCAGGGCGGGTCGGAACGGGCTGGCAACTGGCGAGTGATACGCTCGATCATCATAATAGCTCGAGGTTGTATTTAAGCTCTCGGCTGGATAGCTGAAGCTGACTTAAAGACTGCACATAAAATTGATTAGCAATTTGCAGAAATGGAAATTGTTTAGCAGCGACTTTCACTTTAATCAGCAATTAGTAAATTAATTGCCAATCAGCCGAGATTGCCACAGTTAAGCATTTTGAATTGCAGTCAAATTGAATTCTAATCGCGCGGGAGAAATTTACATAAGGGAAACATATCTCTTCCGCAATCAGCTTATCTTAGTCGCAGCTTTTCTCTCTTTGTTTTTTTTTTTGCTGACTTTGCCAAGTGAAATTGTTTACATTTCGTCACGCGGCTAAAAAAAACAGTGAAAAAATGAAAATGCAGCCACAAACTGTTTTTTTTTTTAAATGCAACAACTGAGCGAAAATCCAATGACCCAAGGGCATTGACGTGTGCTCACAGCTTGGCAAAAAAATGAAAAACGAAAAACGCGATAAAAAGAAAAATAACAGAAAAATCGCATTCTCGCAAATTTATTATGTGGGTGTTGCTCGGTGGGAGGTGTTGACATGCCTACATGCATTCACAAACACACACAAACATACCCAAACACACACACACAAGCACACACACAAACAAACACACACACACACATGTCGTGTGCAGCTGGCAGAGAATTCAAGAGACACGCTTTCTAAATCATTTCCAAAATCACTCTATCTTTCTCTTTGCCTCTTTCTCTTGCCCCAATACGCTAATAGTGTCAGAACTTTAAGAAAAAATTGTTTTTCAGCATTTCATTAAATGCTTTTCCTTTCTACCACACTTACTCTAACTCGCTCGCGAGTTATTCTCTTTCTCCCTCATTTCCACTGTCAATCTCTCTCTTTCTTTGGCTCTCTCTCTCTCTCTCTGACATATTCCCTCTCTTTCCCTGGCCTACTTTGGCTCGCTCTTTCAGACTCTGCCTCTCTTTCTCTCTTGCTCTTTCAGACATATACCTTTACCGCTCTAAGCTCCCTCTCACTCTTTCTCTCTGTTCCTCAATCTTACCGCCTTTCTCTGACATAGTCTCTAGATCTTTCCTTGTCTCTCTCTCCCTCTCTCTCCTTCTCTCTCCTTCTCTCTCTCTCCTTCTCTCTCTCTCCTTCTCTCTCTCTCTTACTCTCTCTGACACACTCTTTAGCTCTCTCGCTGACACGCCTTCCAGCCTCTACCTCCCCCTTCCCTACGACACACTATCTTTCACTCTTTTTCTCTCCCTATTTCTCTCTCCCTCTCTCTCTCTTTCTCTGTCTCTCTCCCTCTCTCTCTCTCTCTTTCTCTGTCTCTTTCTCTCTCTCTCTCTCTCTCTCTCTCTCTCTCTCTCTCTCTCTCTCTCTCTCTCTCTCTCTCTCTCTCTCACTCTATCTGACACGCTATCCATATATCTACATATAATTCTATCTATTTGTCTCTCTCTCTCTCTCATTCAAGTTATCCCTCCCGCGCTTAGATATCTAATAATTGTTCACTGGGCTTACAATTTTAATATTATTATAATGATAAAAAATACCTATAAACAACAAATTAAGGTTTTTACGACGTTTTCCTTTATCTAACATAAATCTAGCCTGAGATTTTAACTCGGTTTCTCGTTTCTAGAGAAAACACTTCCAATTCAAAGTACAAAGTATTTCCATTATTACTTTTGACTATTTGCACGAATGCCCATGTCAAAATAAGTTAAATAAAGCCTTCAGCAGGTTTATCCGATTTGTTATAAACAAATCGAGAAGCGCAAAGGCTCAAGGAACTGCCTGTGCGTGTCAAGGACTCATAAACAAAACGCGAATGCGACAAAACAAGGGGTGTGGCAGCAGAGAAGGCGGCGCGATTCTTGTCTCTTAACAAAACATATTTACTTAGTAATAGAGAAACGAGCCAAATAAAGCGGGTGAGGTAAGCGCCAGAGTTGCCAGCCACATAAAAAGAATTTGAGTTCAGAGTCAGAAGTTCACAAAGCGCGCGCGGACTCAAATATTTGCCAAAAATAATCGTGAATAATTATGTGAGACAAGCAGCAGCAACAACAACAACAAACGACGACAACAATTATAAACAATTAGCAAAAAAAAATGAAAAAATTTAATAAAAAGAGAAAAAAAGTGAGGCCAAAAATAAATAGCTAAGCAAACTTTTGCTTATTTCTGAAAAAGAGATTAGCGCTCGGGCTAGAAATATGTGAAATATGAAATGAGTAAAAATTAATGAGATTAGAGCAAAGCTGCGAAATATTTGCCAAAGAGTCGTTAGTCCCGGGCTAGTTTGGCAATAAATATTAATTAACTATAATTAACAATTTGAATTAGTCAAACTAGAATTTGTTTGAAAATCTTACTCAAAAC